AAGGTGTTACATATAAATTGTGGGTCCTATAGTGATTGGTAAGGAAAGCTGTTACATATAAATTGTGGGTCCTATAGTGATTGGTAAGGAAAGCTGTTACATATAAATTGTGGGTCCTATAGTGATTGGTAAGGAAAGGTGTTACATATAAATTGTGGGTCCTGTAGTGATTGGTAAGGAAAGGTGTTACATATAAATTGTGGGTCCTGTAGTGATTGGTAAGGAAAGCTGTTACATATAAGTCATAAGTCGTATACGAGAACTTATTGAATGACCCCTTTAGTTTTAATCAAATGTGTTGAGTCAGGTCTTGCTAATAAAACTAAAGAACAAAAAATGTAAATTAAACACGAACTGTTTAGTCAGTTTGTTTCTATCTGAAGGACAAACTTACAATTGAAGATAGGCGTCATATTATAATTGTGATGAAGACAACAACAACAAAAGAAAATAGCTAGATGCTTCGTGTCAGATTATCAGGACATATTCTAATGATTAGATCCCACATCCACTTGTCTTACGTAAGTCTCAAATGACACCAACTTTACTTCAAACTTTATGCAGTGTCGCCCCCAACTCAACATTCTAATCCTACTTACTGAGTAACTGTAACAAATAATAATAATAATAACAGTAGTTTCTTTGTCTCATTTTAATCAGTTTTTTTTGTTAAGTACTAGCAGGAAATTGTAAAATGTTATTGATATATTGTTTCGTTTTCTTCTTCTTTCATTGTTATTCTTGGGTTCTCCTGGCAAAAGCCCCCCCTCCCAAGGGGGTGTGCCCCATAGTTTATTCATTTATTATATAATTCTGGTCGATAGTTGAATTAATGCGCATGCGCAAGTTCCTCATACTGACGTCAACGGAGAGAAGCGCAGATAAATGCGATTGCTTACTTCACTAAATGCCTTTTTTCAACTACTGTTCATTCTTACCGACTTCCGCCAGATGTCGCTGTTAAGTGGCCGCATTGACGACTGCGGAGAAGGTCAACACAAACACTGAAAACAGTAAAGCCAGAACGACGTCGGTAAGTTTCTGGTTATTCTATGTACGTTTGTTGTTTTGTGCAAATTATTTTAGCTAACGTTTGACTCACATCCGCAATATATAAGTAATATATGATGTTTACCAGATCATCTCTCCTGTATTTTTAACACACTGTTTCTTGTATATAACAATGTCCTGTTGCGTATTTAAGTTTTTCAACAGAGCACCGATTGGACATTTAATTTCCTAACAGAGTGTTGGTCGTATATGTATAATTTTTAACAGATTGTCGCATACATGTTTTTAACAGCGTGACTGTTGTAACAGTGTCGATCAGATATTTATTTTTTAGCTGGCTCTTATTACATTCATTTGTCAACTTTGACCTGCGCATTTCTATCAGGATTGGCTCCGCTGCGCATTTGTAACAAAGTATGGTTTTGCTGCGCATTTTTGACCTTATGAACTTGTTTCGACAAAAACAACCTTAATTAGCAAAAGTAATCATATATACGAAGACCTTGCACGCTCCTAAACACATGCACACACTCACCTCTCTACTACACTTTTACTTCTTATCATGCCTGCTATAGAAAACAACCAAAATGAAGAATACGAATAGACACGTTATATTTAGTATTGTAACACGGTTGTTATAGACCTGTAACAGGTGTTATTGTAACAGTTATTATAATAGAATTGTTCTAGACCTGTAACAATCATTGTAACAGAATTATTTTAGACCTGTAACAGCTGTTATTGTAACAGAATTATTATAGACCTGTAACAGTCATTGTAACAGAATTGTTTTAGAACTGTAACAGCTGCTATTGTAACAGAATTGTTCTAGCCCTGTACCAGCCGTTATTGTAACAGAATTGTTCTAGCCCTG